AAAGTAATATTGATTATATATATAAGTAATATCGATTTTGAACAGTTTGTTTCCGGTTCCATGCAGTTTCATACCTATCGCATAACTTAATAGCTTTTGAAAGGCCGATTGAAGGGATTGGTTGAATATTTGAAAATAATTAAATAATGTTGATGTTATAATATTTCATGTCATTCTTTACACTCATTTGTCAAAAAAGATTGTTAATTAGAATAGTATTGATAATAATATTTTATTTGATTAACTTTCAAATTCTACATCTCAGTTCTAAAACATTTCTTGAAAATATTTAATGGGCGAAACTTTTGTGCAAATGACTCATTTGATCGTAATAATTTGATCGAACTATCAGCAGTTGCAATGTTGATATATCCTTAAGGTCAATAACATATATTATGTAACACACTGCTCCTATTTACTTTTCATTTGTACAATCAAACGACCCTGAAATGATACTATCTCCAAAGGTTACCGTTAATCAGTGAGTGTCCAATGCATGATTTACATGAAACGGCAAATATAAACATAAGAAATGAAAAGGGATCAGTTTTCAAATCTCAGTTTCACTGAATATCTATATGCTTTTCCGAACTTAAACGAGACTGAAAACGAACTGAGCAATAAAATTTGAATTCCTTTAAGGATTAAGCTATCAGTGCGATTAAATTTAATTTAGTCAAAAATTAATTTATATGTTTATCTAAATTAATTTCGAAATTAATGACACTGACAGTCTAGCCAATAAATGGGCTTAATTACAGATGATACAACTTTAGAATAAATGATTGTGATTTAATATAGAATTCTTAGTGCACTTCATATTAGAAAAATTTTTGAATAAAATAGTCACATCTACTATCGAACCCATTTTAATGCGAATACAAACACTTATTTAAACAGCATTGTTACTGTTAAGGTGTTGTACGGACCACGAGTTCATGCTGGTCCAGTACACGATTACAAAGTAGAAGAAGGCGAACGTGTAGAACTCACGTGTTCAGCAAACAGTAATCCTGCTCCGTCACAGTTCGAATGGTACCATGTTGCTAGTGGTAAATTGATTTTTGTTTTTTTTTCTGTCGATCGTTTTTGTTCATTATTGATTATAACAATCATTCGCAGATACCATTGGTAGCCTGAAATGGTACCAAAATCAGACTTGTAATATTGCGTACTGAATTATCAAAAATACTTGCTGTGTTGCTGAACTATTCCTCATTATATCATGAGTTATTATCACTTGTCAATTTTTTTTAACTTTAGGTGAACGTTTTACTGGAACAAACTGGCAATTCTTAGCCGAACGAAAGCGTAATGGTGATTTTCGCTGTACGGCAACAAATTCTATTGAAAGTGGTGCTGATGAGTTAACACTGAATGTTCAGTATGGACCGGTCGTTAAAGTTAAAGTGAGTGATTATAAATATAATTTCTACATATGAATCACCAAAAATGAATGTCTTCGTGCAGCAAATCATTTGATAGTATAAGTAATACACGTGGATACGCTGCATTACGAATCATCGAAACCTACGAATACGTTATTTCTTTAATGTATTCGTTGGTTTCGATGATTCGTAGTTTATTTAATGAATTAAATTGTTCTTTCCTTTTTTTCAGGAACGGATAAATCCGGCAGAGGGCGATGCAATAACATTAGAGTGCGTAGTTGATGCTAATCCACCGGCTAATTCAATTGTTTGGTCTGGACCAAATAATATTACTCATGAAGGATCAACCTATAAAATTAATTCCATACAAAGGTTTCAATTCTATATTTAAAATGAAAATCTTTGTGAGAAACTCGGTTCAATGATTAGTTATTGTAAATTTACTCGATTTTGAGCAGAATTTATATTACCGTTATGTTCAGAACACATTCTGGCAACTATACATGTACCGCAGTCAATACGTTAACGGTTCACGCTGCGAAATCAGGACCAGTAACACGGACGGGTCAAGCATTTACTTTTGTTGATGTAAACTTTTTTATTTGAGTATTAAAACAATGTTAATAGAGTGAAGTGCTTAATAGGGGAAGCCTGGAATACGAATTTGTAAAGATTGAATGAATTTGATTTCTAATTTTCAATTTTAAAGAATTTTAGCAGATTTACTGCTTTCTTCGTACATGTAATTTCTAGAAATTAGAATTTAAGATCTAAGCTTCTAAGTGCTTTGGTTTTAAGAGTCATGATTTTTCAAAAGATAAATTTGATCTTTTAATTTATGTGATAACTAATCCTTGAAAGTTACAGGTATTACGCCGGCCAGGAGAAGCATTGATAACGGCTTCCAATACCGTAATTGCAGTTGGTGGTGAAATAACATTAAGATGTGTAGCCGTTGATGTAGGCAGTCCGGAAGCGGAATATCGTTGGTTGACACCATCCTCCTCTGGCAAGTACGAAGAACGAAAAACCCCTATTTACACTCTTGAACATGCTACCCTGGCTGATAATGGTGATTATCGATGTATGCCTTTTAATAGGATTGGTGATGGAATAGAAGGCATTTTGACGATACAGGTTGGTGACTTCAACACGATGAGTTTTTAGTGCTTCAAAATTTTGCTGATTTATGAATTGAAAATTGTAGGAGATGAAATAAATAAAACATAAAAATATAAGAATCTTCATAACCACTAATTTATTGTTGTATAAACAGGCATTTTGTGATTGTGGTTTCTTTTGGATATTAAAAAGAACCTTAAAAAATACATTAAGCATATTGATCGGATGATAATATACATCAGTAATTGCGCATCTTCTTAATATTCTTAAATATGAAATGATTTAGGTGATTGAACCGTCGAAAATAACTCGCCCGTTGCCAGAAACTCTCACTTTCAACATCGGTGAAACATCGATTTCTTTGAGATGTGAAGCACAAGGCTATCCGGCTCCACAGTTTCATTGGCTCAAAGATGGGCAATTAATTAACAAAAGAGATAGCAGTTCTCACTGGTTGATCAGTTCGGAGCAACATCCAAACAAGTCAATAAATTACATTAATTTCTGATTTTCTATTCATTTTGATGATTTTAAAGAAATTAGTTTAACTTATTAGCAAATCTAAAATAGCTGTTAAGCATTTATTTTTTTTTAGCTGTCCGAAAAGCGATTTTTGCTCCATCACGATGGTTACGGTTTTGAATTTCCTACAACCATTGGCATGGAATGATAAGGGTAATTACTCGTGCAAATCCAGCAATGGTTTGGAGAAGTTTGTAATTAGTTCGATGACACTTAGCGTTATACATGGACCTGTGATACTTAATGAACGATATCCAAGCGATGCTTTGGCTGCTGCTGATGTTGGATCAACTGTAAGTCTACAATTCTACACACGAATCATATTTATAAGAAATTGAAATTTAAAATTTTCGGGTTTAATGCATTAACAAGTACAGTACGAATATATCTGTTTTAAAAGATAGCTGATAATTTGTTCGAAATGAAAAGCTTGATAAGCTATATAATAGATCAGCATAAGACGTAGAAGTCTGATTTCAAAATTTAATATAGTACAAGTACAATTTATGCTGAAATATTTATAGTGTCTCTGATGACTAAATTGAAAAATATTTGCACTTAAAAATAAATTTATCTAGGCAAGGATAATATGTCACGTATCAGCACGTCCTGAACCAGAATTTATATGGCTTCGAAATGGAAGTGAGATACGCGATGGGCAATCTCGATATGTTGTGCGTAACACTCGTCTAAATGATAAAATAGACGAGTTTCAATCAATTCTCGAAATCAGTGATTCGATGATCTACGATCATGGACCATACATTTGTCGAACAAGCAATGGTAATAGACAGAAGGAGGAATTGGTCATCAAATTGCAGACAAAAAGTAAGCTCAATTTTTTGGATCTTGAAATTTATATTGAAATTTACAACATGACTGAATATCGTATGAAGCAAATGAGAAAATTTACGGCTGTAAAATTTGAAGCTTCTGGAGTTATTATTATTATTCACAAACCTTGCTAATTACTGTTTGAAAAGTGATATGTTATCTAATATACTTTTTCTTTAGTGTCTATCATCAGGTATTAGATAGCAATGCATCAGAAGTAAAAGTTACAGAAGTCAAGAAGTTATTAATTAATTTACTGTACTACAGGCAAGCCACAAGCTCCACGTGACCTTCAGTTGATATCTTCATTGTCAACTTCACTGTTTGTTGGTTGGCGGCCAAGTTTTGATGGTGGCGAAGAACAAAACTTCCAACTCGAATATCGTAAGGTGAATCCGATGAAAGGAATTCCTGATTCAACGGAACCCGTAGCGATTTACATTGATAGCCGTAACGCATCCTACCTTACTTTATACGAAGTAAATATACCTCATATCTTAGAATGTTTTGAATGAACAATCACTTGGTTATTGATTTAATTTAATCTTAGCAACACGGTATAATTGTAATTTTAGAAGAGATTATTACAGTTCATATTTAAAAAACAGAAAATTGAAGACTTCAAATTTATCCTTACTAAGATAATATTATTGTCTGTGGTGACAAACTAAGGATTCCATTCTGCTATTCATAGAGCGTGGATTACTTTAGTAATTCACGCTCTTCTTAATTTAGAAAGTTGTTATAATAAGTGCTAAATGCAAGCATTATGATGCAAAACGGTCAAACTATTTCAGGAAAATGAAACTAGCCGTCGGTCAAGACGAGCTTTCTCCTCCATTACTTACATGGTTTACAACATCAGTTATTTGAATCCATTGAGTACGTACTGGTTTAGAGTTCGTGCTCGGAATTTAATAGGTAACAGTGATTGGACTCCGGTCACAACGGCAACCACATCGGATGTACGGGAATGCGCAGCGATACCTCGACCGTTGACCCTCTATTATAATAGCGCTCAGCAGAAAATTGATTTCGAAGTAGTAATTTCCGGAATTTTCTTGAAATCAAAAACTAAAAACAAAAGGCTGCTAATTAGAATTTGCATTTCCAGTGATTTCTATTTCACGTAAGCGTTATTTATTGTTTCGAAAACAGAAGAGAAAAAAAACACCACTGAAATGAGAATTAGCGTGACGTAACATTATTTGTCAAACGGTAATTCACAACATTAGTAATGTGACGTGCTAAAATTGTTTGCTTCATTTTGTTGCATATTGTAATTTTAATTATTTTTTTAATTTTCTCAAAATATAAGTTTAATTTGCAAATAACGTCCGTATTTTCTTTTTTCAGACGAAGCAGTTAAATGACGACTTATGCGTTTTGCTATTATTTGCATCAAACAAAAATGGACAGGACATTGGAAGTGGAAATGAGGAAGAAGTGAGCGCGAATTGGCGTGCAATGGATTGCTTCGATCAGACTCCCATCTATGATGTACCATCCGCCGATTATTTGAAAGCTCGATTGTGCTATAAGCTAAATCTTGCTAATTGTTCAGCTGCCTCAGAAATCATCGGTTAGCTTTGTTTCATAAGGAATTTGTTTTGGCAAAAAAAGTTTTATGGGAAACTGAAAAACTTAAGAATGATAAAAAGTATATGAGAATTCCATGACTGTCCGATTCTCCGTATGGCTGCGGTTCATAAAACTTTTAAAAAACAAAAAAAGACTTTCAAAAAAAAGTAATGGTAGTTTTGCTATATACCAGATGTGGTTATATATGAACTTCAAGTATATATGAACTGAGTAATATAAGACATTAAGTTATTCGATCATCTGTAGCTCATTCAATTGGAAGTTCTGGAAATAATAAGAAAGTATGGTGGCAAGAAATCGTTGCTGATCTTTGCTGCAATTTAGCTTGCTTTTTCGTCAGAAATAAAAATTAAAAGTAGTGATTCTCGACATTTCTTTCAATTTTCCGGTTGAAAATTTCAACGAAATGTGTGTAGCAGATTGGTGTAATGACACTAAATGTGCGAGCACTTCGCGTTCAAATCCTCATGGGGTCGACTCAATTGCTAGCTGCTAATGATGTTTTTGATAGGAAGAGACATAGCTCTAAAGGCTTTGATGGATAACATTGATATAAATCTGAAGCAGCGATCCTAACAAAACCTCGGGTGGGATCGGTTTCTGTTTTCACTTGGCTTTAATTGTGTACAGCTTTCAGTCTCGTCAACTCTTCTTGCATCCGGATGGATGTATATGGTACCGCTTGGCGCTGTGATACTTTTCCTGTTGTTAACATTTTGTTTCATTATCATCTGCTGTCAGGTGCGGCGAACATTTAACCCCAAAAATAAGAAAGAGAAGAATTTCGTCAGTACCGAAAGGTATAATTTATAGATATGAAAAATGCTTTGAAATTTTTGAAGTTTTCAGTTTACACAAGTTGTTTCTGTGTACACATTCTGAATTGGATAATTTTAATAAATCTCTTCATACTTTTAAAATTACTAAATTTTCGTAAGACTAAATTTTTTGCAGAAAGAATGATGCTAGTGCGCCATTGTCGCAATCAAATACTAAAAATACTTTAGTTCATGGATCTCAAACTGATAGCGGTATTTTCACTCTCGGTTCCACTCCTAATACTAACAAATCAAATGGGCAATTAGCTCAGAATACACAAGGATTTCCCATGTAAATTTATTATTTTTAGATTTACTTTTTAAAATTCAAATATTGCTAATATTACTAATATGATGTTCATTTCGTACAAAATTGCTTTAGGAGAATTGGTACGGTTACCGATCAATGGAATACTAATGTAGAACCGTTTACATTTAGCGATGATCCATATGTTCAAGAATATAACACACAATATCAAATTTCTCCATCATTACAAGACAATAAATATGATGGTTTTATGGATGGGTAAGTTACGTTTGCTTCAAATCTTTCCAGATCTATGATTTTCTTTTTTTTAAATTCAATTTTTATTTTATCTCGTTAATTTGGCTTCGATACTACTAGCTATATGAATTATTTGAGTGATAATCTTTGAAGGACAAAAAATTTTAAAGATCTTTCTCAGCTCAAAATAATTTTTTGTGTTAAAATATATTATGTCAGATTTCCATCAAATGATCAAGAATTAAATGAACATCGAAATAGTATAGATGGCCCCTCGATGATAATACACGATGATCATGATAGCGATGAGACTTCCTACACAACAAATGGTGCCAGGCGAATCATGCGAGAAATCATTGTGTAATAAATTAATCTGCTTATTATTGATATTAGTATTTCAAAAAAAAAAATTGCATAAGCCATAGCAGCTGCTCAGTTATTTTAGGCTATTTAAGCGAAATGTTACATTGGACAGTTCATTTAAGATCTTTTAATATCTTTACGGTAATTGCCTTTAATAAATACATCTGTGATTGTTTCACTCTGCTTGTATATAATCGTTATATTCATTTGCGGGTACCTATTGCCTGTATCTCTTCGTTAAAATATCCGTATCATCGAATATTTATCGTTGGATTATATTGCTTGTTATTAGGTTATCATTTGACGAGATTTGATTTAAATGATCGTACCGTAGATATGTTATTGATATTAAAAAGAGAAAAAAAAAACTATAAATATCTATAATTCCCGGTGAGATTGAGAATTTTCTAAAATTTTCTCCATTTTACAGTTGTGACGAAGCATACAAGTTACCACTGCGGAATTTAGCAGATTATAATTTTGTTCTGTTTTATTACACTTAACAGTTAGTGATTTATAGAACCAAAGCTACGTTTGCAATAATTTTATTACTGTTACAATCTTTTTGCTGTTTCAATTTTGCCTTCTTTTTATGACGAAATATTTAATGTGTAGATTTGCTATTTGATCTATCATTAATGTTATATTTACTACCAAAAAAAAGTTATCATTCAGAATGATTTAGTTTTCACTTAGCTACTAAGCTGTCGTTTCAAAATTTTCTTTAACCTTCCTGATGATTGGCTTAAAAAAATTAAAATTCTTTATTATTTGCGGAAATCTTTTCAAGTTTGAAAATACGAAAAAGAATCGGATGGTTGTATTGGTAACATAGGAATTATATTGTCTGTACTATTTTTACTTTTACAAATCTTCTAATGCATTTTGAAAACAGTAATGAATAATAATGGGTGCTGGAAGTTGTGTACAGCAATACAGCTTGGCCACTTTCCATACTGTCTTTCGTTGTTCTCTTCCTTTATTCATTTTTTTTTCTTGTTTTTCAATGGTTCAGATCTCCATTTATTGTTCTTACTGCTTACTGATTTGTTTATGACCATGCTGAACTTTGCCCTCTCCCATTTCGACAATTTTAAAATTATCGAGATGATAAATTGCTTATCATTTCTTGCAAAAAAAAGTTTAAAAATTGGAATAGATAAATCAAAATTTTGTTCTTCAATAAATGACCCATTTATTATTATTGGTCATATTGATACAATCAGTTAGCTTTGTTGCTTAACATATTTTGAATTGTTTTGCATTTCAAACCGGTTTGCATTTTTCCAAATTTGTTCATGCATATTTTTGAAAATAAACTTTGCACTAAAATGATTTTTTGCATATCTAAGAATTGATTAATATAGTGTTTTGCGAAAATGCATGCAAATATTAATTTTCGTCAATTGAATGATAATTTGAAAGCCTGTGTAATAATTCTTACCGAATACAATTTCGACTGATCTAAATCAATTCTTGAAGGTAAGATAAACTAGTGGTTAATAAGTTTTATCTTTTCCTAAATTTTGATTTTTCTTTCAGTTTGCTCATCCAAAATTTATGATCGAACCTCCAAGTTCATTCACTCATCGATGCATATTTTCTTGATGAAGTCTTCGTATGACGCTACTCACACGCCCTCCATCTAATCAACAAAGGATTTGTAAAACTAGAAAGAAAATTCGAGAATGAAAAGCATTCTTTAGCATCGTTATCTATCCCAGCTGCTCTTGCTATCAAAATTCCGGTGTTGCATTTAATCTTTTGCAAATATTAGCAATTTTCCCTCCTCAAACTTTTCTTTTACTTCTCAATTGCTTTTACTTCCAGTGATTTTCTCCCTATAAAATTTGCAATTTGTATAAAAAATTTTATTAAATCAAAAATTATTTAATTTCAAATATTATTGCATATAGCCTTATTTTTCAGAATGAAATGACAAATGCCAGTGGATGTATTTTTCAGAATAAATGTTTCCAGCTTTTTAATTAATAAATTAGTTAAATACCTTCGTATTTTTCAAGACGTTAGTGCAACTAGAAATCCTTTCTCCATTTTGTAATAGCTGGTAGTTCTTTTTTTGCACTAAAATATCGGATGGTCTTGAAATACGTAAATTTTGTTAAAATTTTTAAATTCTAATTAAATGAATAATTAAGAAATTGAAAAACGAGCAACTATAAGTAACAAGTGGAGTAATAAATTTTAGGTTTGAGCCTTTCATTTGATCTCAAAGCATTTCATTTTTTTTTTAGATCACAAAAGCATCTATTGAACAAATAATTCACAAGATTTTAACACTATCTTTTGTTGTCTTTTTTGCTGATCAAATAGGATCATTTTTTTAAAAAAAAAGAAAAATTATCCTAAATAAAAATAAAATATTTTTTCTCCTTATAGATGAAATGTGCTTTTGGTTCAACAGTAAGTTGTCAAGGTAATTTTTTGAGCAATAAGTTGAGCCTCTTAAATTTTATTTATTTGCAAATTCCGTACTTAAGAGGTGAAGCAAAAAGCTTTAGTAGCATATAAAGTTTTTGCTATGCATTTTATTGTACTCACATAATGACAGCGTTTTATGGAATTATTCATTTCCAACTAATAATGTCAACATGCATACTATTTTATAACTACGTTCTTTCCACACATTAATAAAATAAATTTTAATAATAGTAATAAATTTTTTTACTGTTTATGTTATGCATTTTTCCTGACGACAGAGATTTAATTTATTACTGAGCACTTCTCAATCTTAATTATAAATGGTTTTTACTTCGAGAGTTATTCCTCTAAAACTATTTTCATAAAAAAAGGGAAAAAAATTATTTGTTATAGAAAGTTTTTGCTTGAAAAATAATTAGCTATATGAATTTCAGAGTAGTTTAACTAACAATTTTCAATGAAATGTGAAAATGTGATATATTATCAACTAAACTGCGTTATGTACACAATTACACATACTCTTTATCGTTTTAATACCTATTTCCACTGATTGATACTTGATATTGATGGGTCGTTTTTCTCTTTCGTTTGTTTTTTTTTTCTTCTTATTGAAGAAAAATTGGTTGATTGACATTAAATAAAACAAATCGCTCATCGTCTACGCAAACAGGAGTGAATGTTAACAAAGAGACTATATCATGCAATAATCATTCTATTCATTCCATTTCTTTCTTCCAAAATGATAACAAAAATGTGACTGAAATTATGCGCAAAAGTTTATGTTAGCATTGCCGCATTTAAAATAGTCTAATTCATTTCATTTCTGATGTAATTTGGAATGAATATTTTAGCATAAATTGAAATATATTTATGTTGGAATTGTCTGCAACACAGCAGAAGAAGGAATAAATATTTCACGTTTATTTTTACTACCTTCTTTATATTCTATATATTATATACATTTATATTTTACATATCTATATATTATGAATTCTTTATATTTTAATAATTCAAATGACTGTTTGATTTCAGACACTGTACAGGATAAATGTTTGTAGACCGCTAAGATACGTCAAACTCGATACACTTCCTGCTCACATCCTGAATTGATTCCTCCTTTTTTCATGACAGAAACAACCTTACTTTATGTCTTTTTTTTTTGCTGTTTCTCTTTATAACGTACATATAAGAGTTTGACCAATACATAACACGCAATTTTGACGTTTAAGATATCGAATATATCGGCCTAAATTTTTGAATAGTATATATAGCATACGATCTCAAAAACGTTGCATTATCGTTTCTGACTTCAATTCTTAATTTTCTTCTTATTCACTTCAAGTTTACATCATGATTACGCATTCATTGTTATTAAGGAAATAGTAAATTATAAGGAAACAACTGAACGTCTTCCGTTGATTGCATTCTTTTTTTATTTATTTCGCTTTCTAATTTGAAAGAAAAAAGTTAGCAAAAATTTGCCAAAGAACTTTTCTCTAAGTTACTTATTGTGAGAAAAATCAGCTGAGTATGAATATAACAATGGAAATAGAAAAATCCATTCATTGCTTCAAAAAAGACAAAGAACAAATTATTAAGCCAAAGAAAGTGAAGGTTAACTTTTAACAGATGAAGTAGAAAATATTGTCAGATTTCTATGAAAATCATGAATACTATTTCATGGATGTTATCACTGGAAAAATCACTCGTTTCAAATATTTTGAAATTTCAAACCAATCAAGAAGCATTTGGATATGCATTTAGCAATAAAAGATGCTTACCGGCATATAAAACGAAAGTCATTTAATTTAAACGCATTACGCTAATTTCAAAATTGTGAAATCGAGCAGACATCTAAACCACATGCAGTTTTTATAACGAAAATATTTCTTTTTTCTTCCAATAAACAGTTTACAAAAAAGTTTAACTAGTGCGCAGTAACTTCAAAATAATAGTAAAGCAACGGAATAAGTTTAAGAGTGATGGATTCGAATCATTCATTCTCATTATATCGTCCAAATTACATATTCTCGGTGTATGGCTCTTATCGACGTACTGGTCCGAATACCTTTGTTCAGTTAACTTGAAACAATAATCATGTGTTTAAATCATTTAAATTCATTAACTTTCTAATATTCCCTCGTTATTACAACATACTTCAAGTTCACTGATATCCTTTAAACAATATTATTATCATCGAACAATTTTCAAGCATTCAGTATTAGTATTGAGTAATTTATCCTTCAAAAAATGCAAATGAAGTTAGTTTAATAGCTTACTGTTGTATGATTTATATCACAAAATGAAAATTTTTTGTTATCGTCCAAATATGCAATTTTTACAACAAAAATATTTCTTTTTTTCCCAACAAACAGTTGTGTACATTTTTTGACTGAACCATATCTCTGTATTTATGAAATATTTTTCTTTCAAGTATTTTCAAAATATTTAAAAACAATTCTAGAAAATTATTTTTAAAAATTGCAAAAAGGAACTACTTTGAGCAAGAGGTTTACTCTTGAGATTTGCTTAGTGAGTTCGTTGGATTTTAAAAATGTTAGCACCATACTTAATTCAATCAACCTTTTTATTTATTCTTGTGAAAAAAATGCACTTACTTGAACTTATCGACCGACTATGCATCTATACTCAGATAATTTAAGCATTTCAAGATTTTTTAGGGCAGTAAACCTTTAATATGCTTAATTATTGTTAAGTGCAAAGTGGGTGCTTATCATAACTCATGAGAGATTCGCGGGTGTTTTGGGAAACGTTATTCCAATAATTAATTTGAGGAGAGCAATAATAATTAAAAGATTTTGAAGCATTTACTATTTCGTAGATAATCTTGCATTTGCTCTATTTTATGTACTAACATTTTTTCTTTAAAATCGGAAAATTTCAACTTTCTTTTATCGCTTATTAAAAACGATTTATAATTTACAAAAGAAACATGGTTAATAATAGTTTAATAGTTTAATTTTGAATTAGCTATAATTCCTATAACATTTTGTTCGTACTTCATTGCTTCCTATATCGGGAATTCTGACGGGAATGTTAAAAAAATGTAACTGTAACCTTTTTTGAAGTGTTATAACTTTGAAAAGACTGTTGCAATCAGTAATAACCACAGCAGCTCATTACATGGTAATGAAATAAGTTTAATGGTTTATAAATAAATTAAACTAGCTGGCTTATGTGTGACTGACGAAGTACTGGGGAAGAAATGTGGGATAGGCAGAAAGATTCATTTCCATTTCATCAATTCGCCAGCTGATCCTGGAAAGCAAAGTAATTCTCACAGCTGACATATTTGTGAACCTCTAATACTTTTGTACTTAAAATGGGATGATTCATTTATTTCACGAAGAAAAAGAGAAAATAGTAGTGATTACAATAAGCTATAAAGATATCGACAGCTGCTTGACAAAGAAATATAATTGTAGATGTTAAGTCTCATTTCACTTTTTTTTTCAGTAACTTATAATCTAAAAATTTTTGCGATACTGAAAAGGTTCTTCGTGGCCTTAAATTCAAATAATTTTTTTCAGTTAAGAAGTGAAAATCTTAATATTTTCGTCTCTCGAGTTTTTAATTTCTCACATCTGGATATGTATATCTGTTTGCTTATATCTTATCAATTGAACACGTTCTTGAATGTAATAAATTGTTGTCCACTAATATTTCTCGCATTTTTGATTACGATTTTTTGCACCAACTTGAATGTAATGTTAAATTATTTTGATAGAAGACTTTTGTGGATGATTATGGTTAAATCATTTTTAATAATCAATCATTTGGACCATAGCATTGTTCTTTTTAGTTTATGGTGTTGATCAGATTACATGAATGGGAATTGATAAAACAATAGGTTGTCTTTTTAGAGTAGAATGGGAATTATCTTTCGAGGATACGGTAATAATACAAAACACTAACAGGAAGAATTTTCGGACTTTTTGTTGTTAGAAATAATCTGCCGAAAAATGCATCAGTGAAGTTTGAAATAGCGAACCGTGGACGAGAGGAAGTAGCAATTTCGAGCCACATTCATTCTTCCCGCACTCAACTGATGACGCACACTATAATTTACTCTGCACATTTTTGAAACATATTTCGTTCTAATTGAACTTTGACTGCATTTCCTGTTCCATTCAGTTGCTATGGATATGTGTTGTATATCAAAAATTCCAACCCAACATCTATCCGTCCTCATCCTCAACAGATAGATATGTGTTGCTACAATGGGGCGCATCTGTCTATTTGTCTATCCGTGTCTTCAGCACATTTGTCATTTGACAGCTAACTCCAAACCACTCCGCTCTATCATTGTCATCTATTTCACTGTTGCTTTTTTGTGCTTTCGATTAGTTGTTATTCGAAATACATCGATGGTACTAATCGCTGTTTTCACTTCTCAATTTTTAATCTAATAGTATTCAAATTAAGTATTTCAAACTTCCCACAATCATAAATCTTATATCTTCTTGCAACATCTTGGATGATATTATTTTTTGCAAAATAAAACAAAGAAATATGCATTAAATTTCTCACAAATTAATATTTCACTTATTTAATTGTGCAAAATCATTTGAATAAGCAGATGTGTATTTTTTACAATTTAATATGTTCCTAATAATGCCAACAATTTTCACTGTCTTATCTTTACCACTTTGTCACATAATGTCCATTATTCTTTCTCACTTGACATTACAATTTTGTGAAAAATAAAGATTGGATATTACGAGAATTTTAATTCTATATACTTTAACGCATTACGTGGGTATTTCATTGTGATATGAGAGTGTCTATTTCCAGACAGATGTATCGAAACAGAGTGAAGAAGCTCCATTCACTAGCTGCTAACTAAAATGAGGTGTCTGAACCAATTTGCAGCTTAATATTGAGTGCATTAGATGGAAGGAACAGTTTAACAATGTGGGCCAGTTGGGAAAATTGTAAACTTTTTCTAGTCGATCCATTTGTAGCTCTGTATGATGTAGACCGACGTCAAGAAGAAATAAGCTGTTTTATTTAGAATTTTGATACTTTTCAAATTCTTTACTCTGGAAATTCACAAGGAAAACAAATCTTTCCATTCAGAGAGGATTGTTATATTTCCCGGAATAACTAAACGGAACAAGTGATTCCTTTTTTCTTCAATTAATTAACTATGTAGGAATGATTGCGTATGAAAGATTGGATCACAAAATGATTATGAATTTGATGATAAAAGAAGAGGAATGATTTCCAATGATGTAGAATACCTTCAGTTTGATCTTTTCCCTCACAATTAGTATTCTTATTTTCCATGCCTTTTTATAACTGTCACAATGTCAGATGACATTGAATCATTGGTATTTATATAAACTCAAATAAAAATTATTCTGAAAGATTATGTGCTTTATACTAAAACGGTTTACTTTATCCAAGAAGTTGAGATACAAACTGGCGTGGTATATGACATTTCTCATTCGAGAGCCTCAAGGATTAGTCAGTATACATTTTCTGGGCTGAATAAATTTCGGCATTTTAACTTTAGACTATGTTTCAAAGTCTTTATACAGTTTTTTCTTTATGAAGATCTGTACTATCAATTGGATTTTTTATTTTTAATTTAGTCAGAATGCAATTTTCTTTTTTAATTCGAGTTTATCATTTTCTACTATAAATTTTATTAAAATAATCCCAAATAACTTGCAACTTCTTGAAATCTCTTCGCTTGTTTTGTATGAGTAAAGACACTACTAATTCTTAGGTTGCAAATTTTATCAAATGAATCGTATTTCAATTTAAGTCGTTTCCCGGTCATTTTTTAAATTATGCCCATGTGGTATCCTTTCTATTTTATCATCAACGTGAAACGATAGTTATTCAGACTTTATTGCCAAAATAAATACTTCATTATATCATTCTTATCTAATATTCTAGTAGCTCCTCTTTTAAATTCATAGTTAAAAAGTATGATTGTATTAAGAGTAATACGTGATATCCCATTTATTTATTTTACATACTGGTAAAATTTTCCAGTTTTAATTACAGAAAATCACATGGCAGAATCATCAAGTGAAAATTATAAAATACCAGCTGGACTACGTCCATTATTAGAAGCGCTAGTGCGTGAAACATTGAAAACACAGCCAAATGATTTAATCAGTTTTTCGGTCCTCTTTTTCAGCGTCTTACAAAAACATCGGAAACGTAGGTTCCGAAAATTTCTTAAATCATTTAAAACGTACACATATATATTTTTAGTGGTATATCATCAAAAATTATTATCAATTAGCATTTTTTTTATGATTATATGACAAAAAGGTAACACTGATTTGAATATGAAATTGAAGATATTTAAGTGTTAAATTCATTAAAGAACTAAAAAATTTTACAAATTTCCAAATCTAGCAGTTAGATTTTTAGTTATTTCATTTTTTTGTTCAGTCAAATTATGTATAGTTTGATCAATTCGCTTATTTGTTATATATGAATTCAATTTTCTTCATCAATAACCCCATTTCTGTTCACTGTGATAGACATAATGAAACGTATTAACATCTATCAGACAATAATTTATAACTTTTGGAATAGAAATATGATCAGATGTGAAGAAAAAAAAGCTAATTGAGAACATGTATTATGGTTGGTCAGAATATAATTTTTTTAATTACTAAATAAAGAAATTTGTTTGGTCTTGAAGACATCAAATTGAGATGATTTGTTTTCCAGAGAATAATGCAGAAGATGTGCTAAAAGATCCTGCTTTATATGAATCTTTTAAAATTGACCTACAGAAACAGGTTTGTATGCGTTTTTTTTTTTGCATGATCGTCTATTGTCAATGTCGTAAGAATTGAAGCAAAGGAATTTTAATTAAACTTTGGAAAGTTTGAAGATTTAAATTTTAAATTGGAAAGTTTGAAGATTTAAATTTTAAAATTTGCTCTTGTTGACAATTTAAATTGAATAAAAAATTCAGTATCACGAAAAGGATAAAATGATCGGACGATCGCCAAGGTCATTGAATGAAGCAGCAACGAAAATTCAAGCTGCATATCGTGGACATATTGTAAGTATTACTGATGAGTTTCAAATTTATCAAATTTCGATATTATGTCTGCTTGACTTCACCATTTTGCTTCCAACATTTGTTCCTTTTAGGTTCGAGCTAATCCACAAAAGTTTGGTTTTAGCAAAAAGGACACTGATATCATTTGGTCACCCACGGATTGCAACAATTTACCAAATGCGGAAAAAAATTTTAAGTTGGTTTCGATTCATTAATAGTATCCTGATAAGTTTATAAATTTTCATACACATTCTACCTATTTCTGATAAACACCTTTTCCCATCCTATAAAAAAGAATTTAAAAAGGAGTTTTTCTCAATCAGGATTTTACTTAAGAAATAATGAAATCATGAAAGAGAAAGAAAAAAGGGCTGTGGATATGGAAAGACTAGAAAATATATTTGAATACTATCGATTTCTTGCAAAATTATGTTAAAAAAAATAAAACTAATCAAAAATGACAAATATTAAATATATTCACAAATTGACGATTATATCTGATAGCTGAATAGGCAAAAACATAAAAAAAGTTTGATAAAAGTGTAAGTAGAATTAAATATCATTCTACTTTAGGTGCCATTCTACTATCGATGCTATCGATTCGGTGATAGAGAGAGATGCGATTGAGGATCGAGCAGCAACCATAATTCAGGCCGAAATTCGTGGTTTTCTAATACGACGGCATTTACAACAGGAAAAAAAAGAAGGAAATGAAGCTGCGAAAAAAATACAGGCTCATATTAGGTCATCAGTCCACCTATCTTTTTTATATTCAATTTATCTAAAAATTTTTTCAGTGATTCTGGACCCGTACGGTGTGCGAAGTAAGATTTGATGTACTTAAAGATTACATTATAAAATACTTTCACGGTTCAATTATTATTATCCAGATAATCTTTCCAAATCACTTGTTTTCTTCAGTACAAACATATTATGATAATTGGCATGAGTAAACTTTAATATGAGCACTGCTGAATATTTCAAGGTATTCTGGTTTTTGTATCTTAAATTATACGAAATATGAAATTAGAAGAGTTGACATGTCTTTAAATATATATGTTATTTAAGCGATATTCTTTTCTGAATAGTTTGATTGCCTATAGTGTAATTTCATATATTTTATAAAATATTAAGCAATGAATTTTATTATCTCTCAACATGTTAAGTTTAATTACTAGGTGTTAGAAAAGTTTAATTGTTAGATGTTAGAAAAATTTAATTATTAAATACTTTCAGGGGTTACTTAACGAGAAAGCACCTTGATGAAGTCGGCATACCATACAAGCATTCAACCGTCTCACATCTACATAACGGTCTCCAGGAAGTTAGTCAACATGTATAATCACTTTAAATGACTGGAATTTTCAAAATTTTAATACTTTACAATGCAACACTTTAAAACCTTAAAACCAGCTCATTTATCCATTGGATGCATTTAAAATGCTCCATATAAAATAATAGTGATTTAATCATTATCCACCAAAACGATAATATATTTGCAGCATGCTTAAAGTGTGCAATCAAGCAATTTATTTAAACAACACAGGAAGAAAATCCATCAAAATGAATCTTCTCATCATATTTTTTTCAATAAATATTTGATCGCTGTATTGTGAATTGTTTGAGCAACATCATTGTTATGGTATAGTTTTCAGTATATTGTTGGCTTGATATTTTTTTGTGTACTCTGGGCGCTTATGGTAGCTGTAAGGTAACTGATTCGTAGAATAGGCACTTTAAATTATATCTTTTTTTTTAATGAAACGCAACTGATGAAATTTTGATAGTTACGGGTTATACTTCTTCATCATTTTTCTATATATATTTCATTTTTACACATTCATTATTGTGTTATATTTAATTGGCCGTTTAAAATATTTTATTACAATTCCTACGAAAGTTTAAATATACTGTAAATGAAATGTTTCAGTAATCTTGTTTTGTGCAAAAATTACAAAATGATTAACTAAAATTTTTGAAGAGAGCTCCAATTAACCTTCAAATCATTTTATCTAATTTTTCACGAACTTTTGTTGGTGAGAAGTAAAACAATTAACGATTTTTGGTGTATGAATACAATAACTTACAACAGCATTTCGTATTTTAATGTTACAGTTGCAGCACTGAAAACATTGAAATTTAGAGGGAATATAGAATATTTTTATTTGCTTGATAGAAAAATACGTTAAGGACTCCGGGTGATAATACAGTGGATGGGATTGATTAGAACTGAGACAAACTTTAATTTTAAAATGTGAAACTCGTAAAATGAGAATTGCAAAAATTTTGATGCTCAGCATATTTTCCGCATCAGAAAGGAACAAAAACTTAGAAGAGATATTTCTCTTCTTCCACTTTTGGTAGCTGACGTGTAAGAATTCGTGAATATCATATGTTGAGGACCACTTGAGATTAATGGCTGAAGACACAAATAAGGAAAGGTTGGCAGTAAGACCTTGCACGAAATTTCATCACATTACAATTATATAGATTGACTATTTGGAGATTAAAAGTTGTATGTAAGAGAAGTTAATGAAGAATTTTGAATTTTATAAAAGACTAATTAGGGAGGGAGCAGTTCTTCATTTTATCTTTAAAAGTGAGTGAATAATTTCACATTATGCCATTTATGGAATTTGAAAAAAAGGAATTGCTCAAGTCAGTGAATATAATTTTTTTTTGACAATTAGGAAGGAAGCAATTCTTTATATTATTACAACATTAGCATGAAACATACTTCTGGATTACAAATTTTTCAACGTATTTGAGAAATTTGTCAGTACTTGAATTATTTGTAATCTAGAAGTATGTTTCATGCAAATGTTGTAATAACTTTTTCGTATTAAATATTACAAAAGTTTTACTTAGTGAAGGAAAGAGAAGTAAAAAATAAGGTGGAGAGATCAAGAAATAGAAATAGGAGCATGAATTTTCGATGAATCGAAGGTAAAATTAATCAGATTAAATGATAAATTAAATAAATTGTACTATTTGAAAGTTTGGTGAATTTCTGGGTCTGTCGAAAAAGATTTACCAGGTATTCGTTGAAGTTTTCTTTTTTTTGCAAGTCAGATTTTAAAGGATATTCTAATTTTCTGAATCATTTTTTATTCTACTATTTATTTTCGATAATATTTAATTTCAGTGATCATTAGAATTGCGATAAACATTTGCTGATCAAATACGTTGCTTTAATTCTCAAACTTGATTATCTGCGCGACATTTTCAATCATTGTTTATAGTGCAATTAACAGTATGAAACATCAATATTTTTTAATGAATTTCATCACTTGATTTGCAGTCTGTTTTTGAAGATATCTCAGAGCAGATTTTCCAAGATGATCAATTGTGGAGAAAACTAATTTCAACTTCTTCTTTAACAGATATATTTCTTATCACTGAGAAAATGACCATCTTTTCTGCTAAATAATATAAAAAGGGAAAACTATCGGTTGTTTATATCCAATTTTTAAATTATTTAAAAAATCTTCGGCGATTTTTAAAACAAATGCATTTATTTGAAAATGATTATGCTAACCACTGTGATCAATACAATGAATTTAACAATTGTAATAAGAACGCATACTATTAGATTACAACCAATAATGAAAACTTTCTCCATCTTCTATGATTTACAACTACGAAGAATCAATCAATCTTTAAACAGCCGACATAGCCCACCGTTTCTTGCAAATATACAAAACTGATTCATTTCATTAACATATCTTTTACAATGTTGTTCAATAAATGCCATATTATTTTGTGTGTGTATGGGTGTGTGCGTATATGTGTGTGCGAGTGTGCGTATGTGTGTGTGTGTGTGTGTGTGTGTGTGT